TTATGTAATAATATTGCCATTGGATTTTTGAATTTAAAAGTCTATAAATACTTTTTATTTTTTATTTTAGTATTTTAATTTCATCATGCCTTCCTTAAATCTTAGAAAAAAACTCTTTTCTTTATTAAATTCTTATAATTCTTATCCTTTACCTTTTAATTCTTATTCCTCATTACAAAAAAGTCTACAAGTTCTCAATTGGATTGAGATTAGGACTCTGGGAGGCCAAGGTAACTTATACAAAGCTTTTTCTATACAAAATTCAATTGCAACCTTTGATATATAAGGACAAGTATTGTCTTCTTGAAACTAGCCATTACTCTTAGAACCATTATTTTTAGAACTATTACCCTTAGAACTGTTATCCTTAGAATTATTACTTTTAGAACCGTTACCCTTATCATTAGAAACATACACTTTATAATTGATATAACATATTTGCAAAGAACTTTTATATGAGAAATACCAGTTGCCATTTCAGACAATAGTACAAGTGGTCCTAATTTTTGTTATAAGAAACAACCCCAATACATATAGTTGGGACTGTACTTTACTGTGGCTGAAATGCATGAAAGAGACTATTCATCTTTTGGTTTATGCCATACTTTGTTGTAGCAACTTTGTTGAAATTGAGTAAAGGTTGATTTATCGCTTCACAATACCTTTGCCCAATCTTTCTTTGTCCAGTTTGCATAATCTAAACACTACACTAATCATGCTTCTTTGTTGGCTGATATAAGGAGTGGATTTTATCACACCATACAATTTCTCAATTCAAATGAGTAAAGTGAATGCCTCAAGGTATGTGTAGAAACAAGCTGACTTGTTTTTTTTTTTCAAAGCATTTGAATTCCAGTTTTATAAAGCTGCTAATTCTTTATTACCATTCATTTAAGCTGTTTAAGTTGAGGGGTTTCAAACAAACGCAGTCTGCTAGCACGTGTCTTGGACTCTGTTAATCCTGTTTCAGCATATCACTTTAAAGTATTACAAACTGTAGATAAACCACAATTGACATTTTTGACAATAGTGTGATATAAATCCCCACATTGATAACTGTAAAGTATAGTTTTACATTGAATTGCAGTTAATTCTTTCTTATGTTCCATTGTGTTTCAGAAGAATAAACAAATAATTGTTTTTATGAACTATAATAAAAATTTATTTATAAATAGCTAATCGCGTTTAGACAATACAAATCAATTTTTATTATAATTTACATATACAAATAATAAAAAAAATTTTTTTGAAAAACTTTAGTGATCATATTGCAACTTAATTTATAAAGGTTGATCATATAAAATATACTTTAATATACTTTGCATATAATCTTATATATAACTTTACATTTATTAATAATTACATATCAATCTACTGTGTAATTAATTTACGTGTTAAATATAGCTTTATTTATTATATAGTAGAAACACAAATAAATCAGGGTTTAAAAAACCATTTGAAAACTTTTAACCCTTTCTGTAAGCTATTTTATTGCATGTAACTAATAATTTTTGATTTAAACTTAAGTTTAATAAGATTAAACAAAAAAAATTTTGTGTTGCCAAGTGTTTAATTCTCAAGATTAGAGTAGCAAAATTGATTTTTATTTATTTTTTAAGAAAGTTGAAAAAGATTGAATTATATTTCTATTGTTTCTAACTTTAATAGCATATTGGGAGAAACATTATTGAATAATATTATAAATAATTTGAAACATATTACCAATTAAAAGATCTAAATTAATTATTGTGATTTAGGTATTATTAACAATTATATCTTGTTTAAAAAATTGAATATAAGTTTTATTGACTAATTGCTTGAAATAGTAAAGAAGATAATAAAGCAAATGTAATTTTTATTGGTTAAAAAATGTATTTTTTTTTAAATAGAAATGCTGCATTACAATTTTTATACTTTATTACTTTTAAACTTAATTTTAATAATAAAATAAAATTGGATAAAAATTTATAATATTATTTTTCAAAATAATGTTATTATTACATATTTAAAATTTACACATTCAGATTTTAAGCCAAATAGGGTATAAATATTATTAAAATTTTAAACTAATTTTTATTTAATATATTTTGTGATATTAAAATAAAAACATATTATAACAAAGTTTTGATTAAAATCTTTAATTATTAATTTAAAATTTTCAGCCAATTATATAAATCCAAAAATAAAAAATTAATGCACATTACTAAATCAATGTAGAATATTATTATTTAAATACTTTAAATAGATTAAAATATTAATTTAGATAATTATACTTAAAAATTTTTTTATGCATTTGAAATTTAGATATTTTTAATTTTAAAAATTTGGGATTTAACATGTATTTGAAATAATGGAAATCATTTTTGCAAAAATATTTTTCAAGACATTTAATTCGGATCGATTATATTCTCACAGCAACTATATCATTCATATCTTTTAAAAATATTTATTTTATATAGAATGTATATATAATATTATTTAAAATAAGAGGTATAATAATAATTTTGCATAAAAAACATGACACTTGTTTATTAATAAAGAATTAATAACCATGGAATATCTATTCGTTACTAAAATTATTAAATAATTTTTTTTACCTATAAAATTATTTATCATGAAATTATATTCGTCATGCGCCGATCCTGCCCTTACAAAATGGTGTGCTACATTATTTTTAATTACTACTACTGTACGTATAATTGTGACACGAAAAACATCTGCGTCATAAATTCTCAAGTTTTATTATAAAGTACAATTTTGTCCATTAAATTATTTTGCTTTTATACGAATAATTCGGTATCTATGAATTTTGCAACGTTATTAAAAAAGCCCGAAGGTTACGACGTAAAAATTGTTGCCGGTGAAGAGCCAAATGTTAAAGAATTTAAAGCACATAAGGCTATCTTAATTAGTAAATCAGATTATTTTAAGAGTGCATTTTCTTTACAATGGGAAAGAGTTGAAGATGGAATTACCATTTTCAAAAAACCCAATATTACACCTTCGATATTCGAAATTCTTTTAAAGTAAGTTTATTTTAATTGCACTTGTGAAGAGCTTCTGCATAAAAATTAATTTATTTCTGAAAAATAAAAATGACAATAGATATATTTATAAAGGAAAAATCTCGATTAAAAATAATGAAGTTAGTCTCTTGGATATTATTATTGCGAGTGATGAACTCCAGTTACTCGAAGTCTATCAACAACTTGAAAAACGTTTGCTTAAAGATGAATCGGCCTGGAAACCAAGAGACATTATTACAGCTCTTGAACATGACCATTTAACTACTTTGTATAATTTTTCGATGGTATTGGTATGCAGAAATCCTAAAATTATTTTTGAATCAGAGGATTTCCTTAATATGAAAGAAGGCGCTCTTATTGATATTTTAAAATCAAATGATCTAGAATTAGATGAATTTGAAATTTGGCAATACGTAATTCAATGGGGGATCGAAAACACTAATTCTATTATATGTTATGATTTAAAAAAATGGACGCCGGAGAATTTTATGGATTTAAAAAATACTCTGAATAATTGTATTCCACACATACGATTCTTTCGAATGTCACCTAACGATTATAAGAAACTTAGAGCCCATTTTAAGGATATTCTACCTGGTGGTCTTGATAATGAAATTAGTCAATATTTTTCGGATCCTGATTTTAAACCTTCAATCAATATTTTACCACTAAGAAACCATCCACTCAAATCAAATATTATCGATGCAAAAGATGAAGGGTTAATAGCAAGTTGGATTGATAGGCAAGGAGCATCGTACCATTTTAAAAATTTGCCATTTAAATTTAATCTCATTTATCGTGCTAGCCGTGATGGATTTAAGATTTACAAATTTCATAATAATTGTGATGATAAGAATTCAACACTTGTTGTCATTAAAGTTCGCGATTCAGGAGAGATAATTGGGGGATTCAATCCATTAAGATGGGATTTTGTGCTAAAAGATAAAAGTTTCTCAGATTACATTAATTTTAAATATAAAGCTTCAGACTTTTTTATATTTTCACTATCAAATCGAGAAGTTCCGATATTAAGTCGAATCTCTTCTATAAGAAATATAACATCATGTACATATAGAGAAGGACCAAGTTTTGGCTTAGATTTGCGTATTACACTATCAAAAGGTTCTTATAATGGTATTATTGGCGAAAGCGAAAAATGTTCATATGAAAAGAAAATTACTGACAGACAAACTTTTGAAATAGAAGAATATGAAGTATTTCAAATTATTGATAAGAGACCTTTCAAAAAAATTGGTTGGTTATATATTATTTTTAAGGAGATTTTAATATCCGTTAGTTTGTATGTTTTAGTATACGTAATATATTATCCATATTACATTATATCTATTTCTTTGGAGGTTATCATTACAATTTTTATCTCAATATTGGAGTTTATAGTGGCAATTATTATTAGAGAACCTAGATATTATTTTTTGGACCCGGATTTTAAACAATACTTATATAATATAAATTTTAGGATCACACCGGAAACTTTCCGGTCCACCTTCGATAATAATTACCCATATGTGTAAAATTTTATGCTTTGTTACTCTTTATATTTTGTAATGACATTTACTGAAGTCTTAATATGAGTAATAAATAGTCGCAATAAAGTTTGAAAAAGACAGGTCCAATAGATTCTCAACTTAGCCAGGCGATTAGAGGAACTTTGGTCAAAATTATAGATGAAAAACTATCGAGATTAGAACTAATAAAAAAATCTCCCTTTAACCCACACCTCAAAAGCTTTAAATAAAGCTTTGGACAAATATTAAATTTAAATATAGCATGTTTATAGGACTTAATGACAATTGTAGAGTAATATTCATATGAAAGAATTAATTTCTTGTGACCAATATTCTCTTTCGATACATTAAATTTATTGGGAAAATGTAATTATACTTGTTATATTTATTACAATTGATTTTAAACACCAGAGGAAAAAATAACTAGTCAAATATCAATAAAATAAATAAAATATTCTAAAATTTCTCGCGTATTGCTTTTGATAGAAACCTATGTTTGAAAAACTTGTACTTAATTTTTTGTTTTTTTTTTTATATTAGAATTTGAGGTTTCCAAAGAAAAATAAAGTAAACCACTCAAAACGGATCTTAAAAGAAAGCACTCTATTGATGATAATTTGCTTTTGACCTGCATTTTTAAATTTAATAGTTTCTTTTTTAAAATTATTATATTTTTAATATTTTCAATATCTAATTTATTGATTAATTTCTAGATTTAAATGATTTTTACAACTCATTCAATTACAATTAATCTTTTTATATATAAATTATATGATATTGTTTTGAAACCAACGTGATTTGAATAGTTTATTATATGATCTAAATTTTAAATACAATTAATTTGACCTTACTATCATTATAAGAATTTATAAAAAACAATATAAAATTATAAAAACAAAATACTTAAAAAAATATACACAATGAATTTTTATAACTATATGTACAAATATTTTGATTGTTTATAAAATTTCTTCTAAATATTTATTCCTATTGAAATTTAGGCGCGTACTTTTTTTTTTGAAATTATTGATATAACTTCAAATTTAATTATATAATGTAATAGGTAAACAATAAACTCTTTTAAAAAATAAACTTACTTTTACCTTTTATTTATTTTGTTAGAGAGTTAACCTGTATCTCTTTTTTTAATCAACTTATTTTAATTTAACTTTATAAATAAAAACTTTAAATATAACAATAGGCTATATACAGCATATGTAAATTAATATTAAAACTATTTGTATCTATAAAGTAAACTTAATAAGTTTCTTTTCTACATAACTTGTCAGTATTTTATAAGTACAATATTTTAGTATTTTCTTGCTAAAAAAAAATTTTTTTGTCAAGACATTATTAATAAATAAATATTTAAACTACTAATTATGAGTTTTGATTTTTATGAAATTATAAATATATTATAATTTATTGTTTTGTAATAGTTTTTTAATAGTCAATTATTATTATTGGATCATATTCTTATATTTTTACTCATAAATATAATATGTTTATGGTTCCAAATATATTATACTGTATATATTTATTAAAAATATATAGTAACGAAAAATATTAAAAAGAAACGCTTAAAGAATTTGAAATTAAAAATCATTATTATAAAATAATCTTGAAAAAACACCCAACGGATATTTTAAAAAACCATCACCCTAAATGAGAGAGGGATTGACGGGATCACTATAATATCAGATGCTACTAAATCATCCAAAAAAACTTCTAATAGTCACCTAGAAAAAGATTCTCTTGGCCATCACCCAGATATTCATCGTTCCTATCTACAAATTCATCAAACGTAAAATTCTTAAGGTCTCACTCATCTAGGCAAATCTTTACTGTCAGTTCTTCATTGTCACTTTGACTTCTTGTAGTTGGGGATCTAAAGTTTTCCGTAACTCTTAGTAATCATCCTAAAGCATTAAAATACAAAATACAATTGATTTACAATTCTCAACATTCAGTTAGTAAAAGCAATACCTTTGTATCTTTTTGTTCGTGTGATTTCCAGCGAACTGTTTGATCTTTTTAATTACAAACTTCTAATTCCACGCCATTAGAACGCTTAAGGTTTTTTCTCTGTGTAACTATTTCTTAAAAACGAAATCAACAAGAAAAATTTCTTAATAGCAAAAAAGTATCAAACTAAGAGCTATCCTTTAGACCAAGAGTCCCATTTTGTTAGCGTCGAACTAAGAGTTCATTACTGTTGGACTAAGCAATTAGAACAATCAAATATTTATCTTACTAACGATCATCCCCTCCAATCGTCAAGGACTTCTCTAACTTTTCTTTTGA